CTTCCAGAAATGATCAGATCATCAACGTAAACCAGAACATGTAAACTCAATGAGTCACGATGAAAAACAAACAGTGAGTAATCAGAATATGACTGCTGAAAACCATAGTTCCGTAAAGCAGAAGCAAGCTTTGCAAACCAACAACGAGGAGCTTGTTTTAAACCATACAAAGAACGGCGTAATCGACAAACCTTACCAGGATCAGACGAATGAAAACCAGGAGGAAGCTTCATGTAGACCTCCTCAGACAGATCCCCATGTAAGAATGCATTGTGCACGTCCATCTGATGAACCTCCCAATGTCGAGCAGCTGTAACAGCAAGAAAAGTCTGTACAGTAACCATCTTGGCGACAGGTGCAAACGTCTCCTGATAGTCAATGCCCTCCACCTGCCGGTTACCCAAGACGACCAAACGCGCCTTGTAGAGCTCAACAGAACCATCAGAGTTATATTTAATCTTGTAAATCCACTTGCAACCAATCACGTGTTTCCCAGCAGGAAGAGAAACAATATTCTAAGTATGATTCGATTCCAATGCTCGAATCTCCAGTTGCATAGCCGAACGCCAACGACTATCTCGAACAACCTCAGAAAAGGTCTGAGGCTCAATAGCAGAAGAAATGGCTGCCAGAAATGACTGATGTGCAGGTGAAAAAGAATCACAAGAAACATAGTGTGCGAGAGGGTAAGGAGTACCAGACAATAACGTGATTGAGGAGGCAGAGTGAGGGGACGAAGAACAAATAATGTGAGAGACAAAGTCGGTAAGACGGGAAGAGGGCCTCTTGAGACGATGACCACGGCCCAACACTTCCTCTTGGGGAGGATTACCCTCCGATCAACAATGACTTCAGAACCCCCAATGTCAGCGATACGCGTCGTAGTGGGAACCACCACAGTATCATCATCGTCAGACACAACAGGCCATGAAACCATAGGTAAGATGGCAGTGTCAAGAGCAGGAGACGTCGAATAAAGGAACTCCGATTCACAGAATTTCACATAACGTGAGACCAGAAAAGTGCGGTTGTCCAAATCATAAACACACCACCCCTTTTGACTAGATGGATAGCCAACAAAAACACATCGACGACTCCGACTTGAAAACTTGTCACCTTCCCTGTTCTGATTGTGTGCGTAACTCAGACAGCAAAAAACACGTAAATGCGCATAGTTGGGAGGTTCTCCATACAAAAGTTCATAGGGAGTCTTGCCGGATAAAAGAGGAGTAGGCGTTCGATTGATCAAATACCCAGCAGCAAGTACACAATGTCCCCAGAACTCAATAGGTAAATGGGCTTGAAAGCATAATGCTCGAGCAACATTAAGAATATGTTGATGTTTGCGCTCAGCACGTCCATTTTGTTGAGGAGTTCCGACACAAGAAGTTTCATGAACAATCTCCTGTTGACGGAAATAATCACGCATACAAGTAAACTCAGTCCCATTGTCACTGCGAACAGTTTTAACCAACACAACAAATTGCCTTTTGACCAAAGCAAAAAATTACAGTAAAGTGGAAGACACCGAAGATTTGTCATCCAATAAGAAAAACCAAGTACCGCGAGAATAGTCGTCAACAATAGTTAAAAAATATCGAGCACCACTAAAGGCAGGAACTCTATACGGTCCCCACACATCACAATGAATCAGACTGAAGAGGGAACTGCTGACACTTCGACTAAGACGAAAGCTAGCACGAGATTGCTTCGCCCGACAACAAACATCACAAGTTTTATTCGAGACCAAGGAGCGAGACTCAACAAAAGGCAATTGACCAAGGATAGTAGAAGAGGGATGACCCATTCGCTGGTGCCACAAGGGTTGCATAACCGAAGACACCCGAGAAGCATTGGCAGCGATCGCCCCTCGAAAAAAATAGAGTCCCCCCAACTGCTCACCTGCTCCAATCACCGTCCTCGAAGTGAGGTCCTGAATAGCACAATATGTACTAGTGAAGGTAGCAACAGAACCAGCTTGTTCCAACAAACGAGACAATGATATCAAACTGCACTGAAGACTGTCAACGAACAAAACATCATATAAAATAATACGAGAACCGAGATGAACAGTGTCAGCTTTACACGCAGTTGTGAGCCCGGGACGGAATATCCCGAATATTAGAAAAAAATTCCAAGTAGCCCATCATATGATGTGAGGCACCACTATCATACATCCACTCATAAGGACTATACTTACCGGATAAAGAAGCATTGTTGGGCAGAAGAGACGAAGTGGACAATAGACTCCCATTGGGCATCAGTCAACCCAGAAATAGCTGCCCGACCGGAGTCCGTCAATGAAAATGTTGGCTTGCTATGTATGGAGCCAGAGATACTAAGTGCAGCCCCATTAGCGAATGCGGCGTTGACAAGGGCTGGACCACCGCGACCGGCATCAGTTCCCCACCAATCGGGATATGAAGAAGAAGCGGCCAGAGATACTAAGT